TATCGTATGGTTAACGTTTTTCAGTTTCAGACCTTTCCACTTAGTAATTCCTGATTACTAAAATCTGCCGCGATTTGTAGGGCCTGTCGTGATATCATGGATCGCTTAGGTTCCACCAGGATCTGGTAGTCCTCATAATTCTGCGGCCTCTATGTGTCGTCATCTCGCACAACTCTTTAAGAATCTTGTGGATTTGGCATGTGAAAATTTGCAGCCTTCCAGACATTGATTGGGTTAACGAGGTGTCGTACGTCACCTCAAGATCGGGTGACAGGGGGCTGACCAGGCCAGAACCCAATTGATTGGGCCTGAGGTCACGTGATTATGAGCCTGAGGTCACGTGACTATGACGTCACCAGACCTTCCTCTCCGTTTCCCGCTCATTGGACCAGGTGAGCTTGCATGCATGTGAATGTGGGTGTAAGTATAGCTGTACTGTAGTTTATACCTAATTAAACCCCTATAGAAACCGACAATTTATTTTCTGGCAGAAAGCTAGAAATTTACCAAAATATCGTCATTGTTTTAAATTTATTTTGATGACCATTCCTGACCTAAAATCGCACGAGAAATCGATTAAACTTGGTTTCAGAACTCAACAATGCTTCCTTATGCCTCAAAATCCATGTTTTATCGATACAATCAACATATCGATCCTGTAGTTCAACTTAATACTTAAAGGGTTCAAGTATAGTTACGCGGTAGACAAACTAAAACAAAATTGTAGGTTTATAACCTACCAGGACGTGTGCCGAGTTAAGACGTTTTTTGTGACAATACAAGAAATAATGGATGAGCTCCTACTTGTGAGCCACTTAGGAAATACAATATATCTGATTTATTGTACCTTCACTTCTTCTGCTTTTTCGTTTGCTGTCTGTGCTCTGCGACAGCAATTTGTTGCCCAGATTTCCTATCCTCCCCTACCACTTTCTTACCACAGGTTGACATAAGCGCCACTTGCCTCTCAACAGCTTGGTTGTTGTTAACAAATGCTGTTTTGAGAGGCATTCTTATATTATTAGGTAATCTTAATTAAAACTGCTGCCATTGGTCGATATATTCTATCAGTAGAATAAGCTGTTGCAATTGGCCACACATTGTTAACTAATGCACCCTACTAACGCGTGTCTTACTCCGCAAAACCATCCAAAAGCTATACACTAATCCTACCTAATCTTACACTCAGCTCTTATGGCTATTCTACACTCATACTAGAACATTCTAAAAGATCGATTATTACGCTAAAACCCTGCTGTGTACAGCTTATTGGCAACTGTGTATGTGCTCGTAGTCATATAATATATATGTGTGAAAAGATGCCGATAATACTTCCAGATTATTTCTCGAATAAATTCATAAATAACCTTATAAAATAAAACATTATATTAATATAAAAAGTAATTGTCTTTTCCATTTATACTGTACCAATCGCCGACTCACTTTTAGCATTTAGCCTCACCAGCGCAACTTGAATTATATTAGAAATCGTTAACAAAATATTTTACGAAAGTAGATCTGCTGGATTTGCAAAGTGCTAGTAATAACCAAAGATGGTCACCTTTTTATTTCATTACATTCCCAGGTAGTAGGTTTACGAAAATTGAAATAACAGACACTTTAAAAAAGCTGCCCAACTGAAATTGCACAAATTGCAATACAACTGCCACATAACACAAGGTTTTTATACATATAAGTTTATTTAACGGGTGATACTCGTAAAATATTTGTTCCAAATATTACCTTCGACTCGAGCTTAACTCGGCACACGTCCTGGTAGGTTATAAACCTACAATTTTGTTTTAGTTTGTCTACCGCGTAACTATACTTGAACCCTTTAAGTATTTAGTTGAACTACAGGATCGATATGTTGATTGTATCGATAAAACATGGATTTTGAGGCATAAGGAAGCATTGTTGAGTTCTGAAACCAAGTTTAATCGATTTCTCGTGCGATTTTAGGTCAGGAATGGTCATCAAAATAAATTTAAAACAATGACGATATTTTGGTAAATTTCTAGCTTTCTGCCAGAAAATAAATTGTCGGTTTCTATAGGGGTTTAATTAGGTATAAACTACAGTACAGCTATACTTACACCCACATTCACATGCATGCAAGCTCACCTGGTCCAATGAGCGGGAAACGGAGAGGAAGGTCTGGTGACATCATAGTCACGTGACCTCAGGCTCATAATCACGTGACCTCAGGCCCAATCAATTGGGTTCTGGCCTGGTCAGCCCCCTGTCACCCGATCTTGAGGTGACGTACGACACCTCGTTAACCCAATCAATGTCTGGAAGGCTGCAAATTTTCACATGCCAAATCCACAAGATTCTTAAAGAGTTGTGCGAGATGACGACACATAGAGGCCGCAGAATTATGAGGACTACCAGATCCTGGTGGAACCTAAGCGATCCATGATATCACGACAGGCCCTACGCGATTTGCTGAACTCCAACTACAAATATTGGTGATTTAAGTATTCTTGAAACGAAAAATTCACTAAGTTTTTTAAAAAAAGCATTTTTCCCCGCGTTTCATGCGATTTGATCACTTTTGGCGGAAAAAAATATTTTGAATTTTCGAAATTTTTCGAAGTCTCGAAAAAAAATGTAAGTGAAAAATTTTCAAAGTTTTTCTAAAAACTACTTTTCTCCGTGTTTTAAGCTATTCCGATCATTTTGAGCCAATAAAAAATTTTTAGAATTTTGCTAATTAGCTAATTGATAATTATCCAATTAAATGATTCTCTGACGTAAAAATTGTTAGAACAAAAGTTTTTCTTCATGGTAATATGAACACACTCAATTGATCCACAACCTTTTAAGATGTTCACAACTAAAGATATTCGACAAACAAGAAAGGTGGTAAAAAGTGGTAAAGTGGCAAAAAGTGGCCTTAAGACACGTGGAAAAGTTTGGAAAAGTTGGTCAGCCATAGAGGGCACCTATTAGGACTCAAAAACGTCAAAAATCCTCTGAAAGCTTCGTGTGTCAGCAGATCGATTTTTTCAGACGGATTTGTCTGTTAGCGGAAAATTCGCAAGGGACGATCAACCAAACAACATCCCCATAGGACCAGAACCCTTTCTCCCAATTAGGCCACACTCAGCATGACAAAGGAAAATCACACTTGAGAGGTACCTCCACAAATATAAATACAGGAACTTTAATTTTTCTGGAACTCACATCAGATGGCTAACATGGTCGCTGTCAGGATATGTCACAGCCCACTAGTATACTTTCAGAACGTGGCAAACAACGTCAACCTCGAGACGCAAGATTGTGAACACTTTTCAGGAGAAGCAGAAACATCCCAGCACCTCCTCTGTAAAAGCATCAGAGATCAGATCATATGACACTCAGAATGAGGATAATTGGTAAACCCTACGGAGGATCTTAACAACAGTAAACTCAACCTTACCTGGGGACCCCAGGCTATTATGTCATAATAAAGATTCGGCGGAATGACAGGCTGAGCGCCGCCCAGTAAACTCAACCATATCTTTAAATTTGTGGAACAGTCGACAAGACTGGATAGGGAAAACTCTTTTGGGTAACCTCCTTGGATTCTTCACCAGAAACTTTCGCTAAATCATACACTAGGAACTCAACCTAGGCCCATCTCCGCATGGAGATATATATCTCCCAGGCTTTGACCTTGCTCGGAAGTCCCTTGTCTGCCCGCAGAAGTACTACAATGGAAGTGAGTTTGGCACGCCACTCCCTTTTTTTCACTATTGTGAGCACTTTCAGCTAGGAACTCCAAAGTTTCTAGATATAGGTATTTGGTTTGATAATTGAAGTGACGAAATCACTGATTAAGTGCAGAGATCACGTATCTGCAAGATCTTAAAAGGGTCATAACTCGGTTAAATTGCAGCTTGCAGCAAACCAAAACTTTGTGTGCAATTCTGACAGGAATTACGTGGGTTATTAAAGGGTTGCGTGTGGGCACTGGACAGGTACTTATGGGCTACCCTGTATATACAAAAGCAATACCTTATTGGACCTTATTTGAACGGACATTTATTGAACGCAGGAGGTCCTAGCGTTCATTTTAATGTCCGTTGAAATAAAGTCCGTCCGTTTAAGGTCCGTCCAAGTTAAACTCCGTTGAGATTTTTTTTCAAAATTATTTCACTGCGAACTCTCAACTCATGTTTAGGATATGACAACTTTTTAATTTCACTCAATTCATGTAATTTCTATCATCGGATTAGGACTGTATATCATTGGATCAATAAAAAACGAGCTATTATACAATTTAAATATTCTAAGTATCACATTATGGCATGATCACTTTCTTGATCTTTGGCTTCCTCGTTCACTTCTTCGGAGTTATTATTTACCTCCACATCTTGTAAAAGTTTAAACTGAAATGCAGGACCAAGGTTGTCAGATAAATATTGTTTTCGAAAAGTAGGTATTACTGATAGTGATATGATGCTTTAACTTTAAGCATGGGATATTTAATGCACGATAACCCATTTGAGGAAGATGACCTGTGATATGATCATCAAATCTGGTCGTAACATATTTCGTATCTGTTGTTTTTACACTACTTTCATAATCATATACATTAGACACTGATCTACAGATATTTTGACTTTTTTATTGCTTAACGACTGCCTTCCTTGCTCATTGTATGAAAAATTAATTTACAAATTATCTGCTAAAATTTTAAAAACGCCAATAAAGATTAATGAATTCGGATTTTTAATGATTTTTAATGCCTTCGAGCGTTCATTTTTATGTCCGTTCATAATTATGTACGTTCATTTAAAGTCCGGTCAAATAAGATCCGATAAGGTATACAAATAACAATGTTAAATCTTTAAATGTTTATGTATTCATTATACACTATACACTATACACTATACACTATACATATAATCTTTGCTAAATCTATCGATTCCCGGAAGGAAAAAGTCTCTCTGCATCAATCTATTTTATTTCAACCACCTATAAATAATCGACCATTGCAGTGAAACATCATTATTTACAAATATTAGTTGAGATTGATAACGCTTAACCGCCGGTTCAAACTTACAAGATGAAGGTATTCCTGCTTTTCCTAGTCACCGCCGCTGTTCTGTACTCCGCTACTGCAACTGAAGGTAAGAAAATATGAACGTAGATGTTTTATTCAATTGGAAATTATTTCTTTGATAAAATATTGATCAATTCAGAACTACGGTTCATTCCGGAAATATAAATTTTGTATCATTAATGTAGCATATATATATATAGCATATAATACATAATTTTAAACGTGTCTTATTTCAGAAGTTGACGACTTCCACCACCATCACCATCACCGTCGCCCTCGCCATCACCATCACCATCACCCACACCCACACCATCGCCATCACCATCACCAACACCACCGTCTCAACCGTGCACGTGCTGCTGCTGCTAGGAGAGTAGCTGCTGCTAGGAAACGTGCTGCTGCTGCTAAGAGACGTGCTGCTGCTGCTAGGAAACGTGCTGCTGCTGCTGCTAGGAAACGTGCTGCTGCCGCTAAGAGACGTGCTGCTCTTGCTAGGAAACGTGCTGCTGCTGCTGCTAGGAAACGTGCTGCTGCCGCTAAGAGACGTGCTGCTCTTGCTAGGAAACGTGCTGCTGCTAGGAAACGTGCTGCTGCCGCTAAGAGACGTGCTGCTGCACGCGCTGCCGCTGTTAGGAGGGCTAGAAGACACCACGGACACCGTCACCACCATCACGGACACCGTCACCACCATCACCCACACCACCACCATCACCACCATCACGGACACCACGGACGCCGAGGACAGTAAGAACAGTAAGAACATAACGAAACTACAAAGGACAATACAACGATTGAGAATAACAACACTCTACCGTTGTACTTTACTCGATATGATGGAACACTTACATTTTCATTTGTCAACTTTTTGTGGCATATCTGTATGTTTATATTCATTTGAGATTGTGAAGTAAGCTGTTCAAACATTATGCATTGAATTTTGTGTGTCTTACTTGTCATTTTCGCCCTTGAATTTATATCCATAATTCAAATAATATCATATGATCATCGATCACACTGCGTTATTCCCTTCGAACTCCTTCGACTATAACTACTGACAGACTAATCTGGTGGATTCGTGTAGTGTTATTGAGTCTCGTGATTTGATAGTTCTTTTATTCAAATTTCTGAATTTTTTCTGAATAGACTCAGCGAAGACAAATTCTAATGGAAATAAATAGCTGAATAACGTATCGACATTTCTACGTCATACTCATATTCTCAATAAATGTAATAAATGTGTAGTGTTGTAATTAGTTTAAACTAATTACAAGTACAACACTACAAATCTATTAAATTTATTGAGATTAAGAATTTGTCTTCACTGAGTCTATTCAGAAACAATCAGAAATTTGAATAAAAGTACTGATAGACTTACTTTATCGGACCTTATTTGGACGGACATTAAATGAACGAAAATAATTATGAACGGACGTCGGACATTAATATGAACACTAGAAGGCATTCAAAACCATCAAAAATCCGACGTTTTTTTATTTCAGCAAATAATTTTTAAATCCATTTTTTATACAGTATAAGTAAGAAAAGCAGTCGTTAAGCGGTAAAAATGTTAAAATATGTGTACATGATCAGTGTCTAATATCACGTATCATCTTTGTCAAATGGGTTTTCGTGCATGAAATAGTCCATGCTTAAAGCATCAGTGATTTCTAGCTTTATGGAAACCTTTTTTTTTATCAAACTACCCCGGTCCGGCGGTCCTGCATTTCAGTGTTAACTTTACAAGCCATTCGGCGGCAATTCAGTAGTGCGGCGCGGCATAACACGGTTAACGCACGGTTAAGGCACGGTTAAGGCACAGTTAAGGCACGGTTAAGGCACGGTTAAGGCCCGGTTAAGGCACAAGGGTTACATAAGGCACGGTTCTTAAGGCACGGTTAACGCATGGTTAAGGCACGGTTAACGCACGGTTAAGGCACGGTTAAGGCACGGTTAAGGCACAAACTGCCCAAAAGCAACCATTAATATGTAATAGCTAATATCTATATATAATAATAGCTATCATATATTATAGTAGTTATAAGTATATAATATATATGTACATATATGTATATATATTATATGTATATAATTAATAATACTAATAGCTATATTAATACTGTGAATATAATGGCAACGGCCTCATGCTTGCCAGCATTGTGATTAAGAACTTAAGTTTGTGTACATCGGCTCTTATTTTAAAAGTCTATCAGGGATCGTAAACTGTTCTGTTTTGACAGTGGATAAATAATAGCTCTAAATACAACAATTACAAAATGCAGTAAAATAAGAAAATTAATCCACACGTCACACATGTTGTTCAAAACAGTGAAGAGACCATCTTGGTCACTTGTATAAATTATTAAAAGTGACTAAGATGGCCAATTTCTACGAAGGTACCTGGTTTTGAATAGTACCTCAGAGACATCTACAGAAAGTGTTTATTGAACATCCTGCACTCTTTGAACATCCTCGATTTGCTTGAATCTCAACAATGGCGAGCTAGAGGTCAGATTCAATAACACGGTTAACGCACGGTTATAAGGCACGGTTAAGGCACAGTTAAGGCACGGTTAAGGCACGGTTAAGGCACGGTTAAGGCACAAGGGTTACATAAGGCACGGTTCTTAAGGCACGGTTAACGCACGGTTAAGGCACGGTTAAGGCACGGTTAAGGCACAAACTGCCCAAAAGCAACCATTAATATGTAATAGCTAATATCTATATATAATAATAGCTATCATATATTATAGTAGTTATAAGTATATAATATATATGTACATATATGTATATATATTATATGTATATAATTAATAATACTAATAGCTATATTAATACTGTGAATATAATGGCAACGGCCTCATGCTTGCCAGCATTGTGATTAAGAACTTAAGTTTGTGTACATCGGCTCTTATTTTAAAAGTCTATCAGGGATCGTAAACTGTTCTGTTTTGACAGTGGATAAATAATAGCTCTAAATACAACACTTACAAAATGCAGTAAAATAAGAAAATTAATCCACACGTCACACATGTTGTTCAAAACAGTGAAGAGACCATCTTGGTCACTTGTATAAATTATTAAAAGTGACCAAGATGGCCAATTTCTACGAAGGTACCTGGTTTTGAATAGTACCTCAGAGACATCTACAGAAAGTGTTTATTGAACATCCTGCACTCTTTGAACATCCTCGATTTGCTTGAATCTCAACAATGGCGAGCTAGAGGTCAGATTCAATAACACGGTTAACGCACGGTTATAAGGCACGGTTAAGGCACAGTTAAGGCACGGTTAAGGCACGGTTAAGGCACGGTTAAGGCACAAGGGTTACATAAGGCACGGTTCTTAAGGCACGGTTAACGCATGTTACGCACGGTTAACGGCACGGTTAAGGCACGGTTAAGGCACAAACTGCCCAAAAGCAACCATTAATATGTAATAGCTAATATCTATATATAATAATAGCTATCATATATTATAGTAGTTATAAGTATATAATATATATGTACATATATGTATATATATTATATGTATATAATTAATAATACTAATAGCTATATTAATACTGTGAATATAATGGCAACGGCCTCATGCTTGCCAGCATTGTGATTAAGAACTTAAGTTTGTGTACATCGGCTCTTATTTTAAAAGTCTATCAGGGATCGTAAACTGTTCTGTTTTGACAGTGGATAAATAATAGCTCTAAATACAACAATTACAAAATGCAGTAAAATAAGAAAATTAATCCACACGTCACACATGTTGTTCAAAACAGTGAAGAGACCATCTTGGTCACTTGTATAAATTATTAAAAGTGACTAAGATGGCCAATTTCTACGAAGGTACCTGGTTTTGAATAGTACCTCAGAGACATCTACAGAAAGTGTTTATTGAACATCCTGCACTCTTTGAACATCCTCGATTTGCTTGAATCTCAACAATGGCGAGCTAGAGGTCAGATTCAATAACACGGTTAACGCACGGTTATAAGGCACGGTTAAGGCACAGTTAAGGCACGGTTAAGGCACGGTTAAGGCACGGTTAAGGCACAAGGGTTACATAAGGCACGGTTCTTAAGGCACGGTTAACGCACGGTTAACGCACGGTTAAGGCACGGTTAAGGCACAAACTGCCCAAAAGCAACCATTAATATGTAATAGCTAATCTCTACTATAATTCAGAGAATTATTTCTGTCTGTATGTCTGTACGACCGCCCACGTGCAAATTAGATGAAAAATAGGAATTTAATTAACAACCAAAAGGTTCCATAGCAACGGTGTTTTAATGCACACATTCACGTGCAAAGGTTGTTTTAACGTCATTTTGATCGGTTTTGTGGTAATTACGTTGTGTTTAAAGTGTTTTATATTTAAATCGGCTGTATCTTCGGTTGATATGGATATTTTTTGATGCGATTAAAACTTTCTTTCAAAGAATACTACTAGCTTCGTCCCTGTTACCACGGGCTTTCTAGTATCTATATATAATAATAGCTATCATATATTATAGTAGTTATAAGTATATAATATATATGTACATATATGTATATATATTATATGTATATAATTAATAATACTAAATCTAATAGCTATATTAATACTGTGAATATAATGGCAACGGCCTCATGCTTGCCAGCATTGTGATTAAGAACTTAAGTTTGTGTACATCGGCTCTTATTTTAAAAGTCTATCAGGGATCGTAAACTGTTCTGTTTTGACAGTGGATAAATAATAGCTCTAAATATAACACTTACAAAATGCAGTAAAATAAGAAAATTAATCCACACGTCACACATTGTACAAAACAGTGAAGAGACCATCTTGGTCACTTGTATAAATTATTAAAAGTGACTAAGATGGCCAATTTCTACGAAGGTACCTGGTTTTGAATAGTACCTCAGAGACATCTACAGAAAGTGTTTATTGAACATCCTGCACTCTTTGAACATCCTCGATTTGCTTGAATCTCAACAATGGCGAGCTAGAGGTCAGATTCAAGGGTGTTAATCCGACAATTCAGAGCTAGTTCAGCTTGAGCTATAATTAGTGAGTTATGTCCAGTTTAAGGATAAGACTGGATCTGGACGAGTCATTTTAGGGCTTACGAAATAATTTCCACCGGTATTTTGACGAGCTGAACATCTTGCACCCTTTGAACATCCTTAATTTGCTTGAATCTCAAAAATAAAATGTAAATGTCTCTGAGGTACTATTCAAACCAGGTACCTTCGTAGAAATTTGCGATCTTGGTTACTTTTATACAAGCTTGCTTCACTGTCTTGTACAATGTGTGACGTATGGATTATTATTATTATAAAACAGGATCTTACCGACAAAAATGATTCTTAAAAATACCTTAATGCGGTAAACTGTACCCTTGAAAAAGATTTTCCCAACATCTGTTGCATGCAGCTATATCTCTAATTTCGTTCAATTCATGCAAGTTGTCCATTTGCAAATTTCTACTACTTAAATCACCTCTTAAAACCGATAACAAGTTCATTCTAGGTCTCCCCAATCTACCAATGAATAAATTATCTGATTCAATAGCAAAAGAGAGAGCCGTTTGGGCTGGGGTGTTCTCCATACTCCTGAGAATGTGTCCAAACATCTTCCACCGCTGGTGTTCAA